TTCTTGTTTAAACCCGAGTTATTTAAAAAAAGACAAAACAACACTTCCTAAAGCTAGAGGTTTAGAGAAGAAGAAGGAAAAACTGTAGGAACTAAACCAGCTGCCAGTCAGATAATCATGGCACAGAACCAATACTGGGTCAGATGTGGGGACAGGGAAAGGCAGAGGTGAACTGGTAAGTGAAAGAGCTCCCTTCCCCCTGGGCTGTGGGAGCCACGCCCATCTTGGCTGTCCTCCAGCCTGACGTGGACCTTGGAGCAGTACCTGCAGGGCGAGGGAGGAGCCGTGTCTTTCCCTAAGCAGTGCCTGGTACCTGGCCAGGAGGCCCAGCACCCCACTGGCATCACAGGTGGCTCTGATGGGCTCCTGAGGCACTTGATCCCTGGTCAAGGCTGACCTGGCCCCAGAAGGAAGCCCTGGGAGCAGTTCCTTGGAGCGACCCTCTGGGGGTGAATTTCTGGGTGGAAAGGCCCTTGCTCCTTTCCCAGGATGGCTCTCAGGAGAGGCGTAACTGCTCCACCACCCTACCACCTAATTACAGGGCTCATATCTTGGGTTGGTTCCAACTCTCAGGAAGGTGCAGCAGCCGCCAGCCTCCCCTCCCCACCTGCCCCTGCAGGCTAGCACAACCAGCAGTCCACCTGTCCCACTACCTGATGTAGAATTCAACCCCCCATCCTCTTTCCCGTCCAGAAAACCCCTGTGAGGGGAACAAGTGTCCTTCGAGAGGGGGTAAGACTCAAGCCTGTAAGACAGGCCCATGTGTGGCTGCCCCCAGAAGACAGCAGGACTCAGCAGGGAAGTCTGACTGCGCAGGTGGGTTAGCAGGACCGGCAGCACCAGGTGCTCCCGAGATGGTGAGGCTGTGGGGGAGGGAGAGTTCGGGCGGCAGAGGCAGACAGAGAACACATGGCCCGGGGCTCTAGCCAGCTGAGGGCTTGTGTCCCAGGTACAGAGGCAGCCCCTGACCACCGCCCGGTCCCTGACCACCCACCCCCGCCCCAGCTCATTGCTGCTGCATGGGAATGTGTGCCCCACCTGCCAGGTTGTTGCTGTCTTTTTTAGAATTTTTTTAGGAGAAGGAAGAAACCAATCAGCTGTTTATATTTTGGCAACTAATTTAACTAAACATTGTGTGGTCCTGCAGGGTACAAGCTAAGTGAAATGTCTGTGGGCCCCACTTGATTACTAGGGCACAGGAAAGAACATGTCTACCCAGGGCCTGTATGCCCCAGGAACAGCTGAAACACCACCCTCCCCACCCCTAACACATAACATAAAATTGTTTACACAGTGGGAGGCCCTTCTTAACAAGCAGTCAAGCCAAGAGCCACGTGTAATGTTGCCAGCCTCCTGATACCTCACATCCGTATCTTGACCCTGAAAATAATTCTATCCATTCTTTTCTCCCGTCCTCCTTTTGTAGCTCAAAAAAACCCTAAAACTGTTGCCCTGATTGGTATGTATCAGTGGATTGAGTGCCGGACTGCAAACCAAAGGGTCACCAGTTTGACTCCTAGTCAGGGCACATGCCTGGGTTGCAGGCCAGGTGCCCAGGATGGGGCTCTTGAGAGGCAACCACACATTGCTGTTTCTTTCCCTCTCTTTCTCCGTCCCTTCCCCTCTCTCTAAAAATAAATTAATAAAATCTTAAATTAAAAAAACCTAAAACTAAACTAAAACCGTAAAGCTTTCCCAGGAAGATATTTTTGGAGAGGCAGCACCTAATTGTAGAGGAGATCTTTGCTTCCAGGTCATTAGTCAGGAATGTTCCAGGTAGATACCCAAGCCAACTACGTTTTGAACTTGGACAAAAGCCCTGAATGACCTTGGGCAACTTAGCCTTTCCGACTTCCTTCTTTCTCTCACTAAGAAACACTATTGTAGTAGGGGGAAAACACAAAACCAAGGGTATCTGATTTTCATCCTTTAAACCCCTTGTTCCCCAGCTTTTTCCTGAAAAAACAACAACAAAAAAAAAAACAAAAGCAAAACCAAAAAAACCTAGTAGAACAGGTCTAAGGCCCTGGAGGGCCAGGGGTCTCTGACTGCCTTCTGCTCAGAGCACGCCCCTCTGGGGAACTTAAGGATGCCCCCTGGCAACAGTGTGAAGTGGATGATGTTTGAATTCTCTGAACTTTATCCCACCTCCTGTCACCTGGTGCCCTAGATGACCCCCGCGGCCTCAGGGACACAGGGTTGAATAAAAAGCCTGGTTATTGTGCTAAATGATAAAGCAAGGTATATGTTACATACATATAAAGAGAATATTATGAACATACGAATGTCAGTTGTACAAGAACTACATAATGACTCTGTGCTCCTTTTTAAAAAGGTTCAGAAGGTACTAACGCTGATGTTAGAGATCACGTTCAGGCCTTCCCTGAGGAATGCCAGTTAGTGTTTAGTGTTCGGAACTATGTGCTCGTCCTGACTTGGAAGCAAGTCTATTTATTCAGCATAAAAGGAAGTATTTGAACTCACAGAGTGTGATCCTCTGAAACTAGTAAAAGCAGCACAACTGGACAGACAACTTTTGGGACAACGAGACATATTTCTCTGCTCGGAATACCACCTCGCTATTGAAGGGGGCCAAAATGTTGCTCTCCTGAAGCTGCCTTTTGGAATATAGACTTTAAGCTGTTCATTAAGAAACAAAAGGCTCAGAAAGAACCTTTGACCCTCTCCCCTCGTCTGCCCAAAAGATTCCAATAGAAACACCTGCTTCAGGAAGGCAATCTCGGGATGCTCACCACAGCCCACTTGGGATTAAGTGTGGAAGTCGGAGGACTTCAGGAAGTGGCCTGTCTGTGAGGTGACCCCTGGGTCCCATGACTTCTGAGTTGTCTGAGAATGTGCCCACCGTGTGTGCCCCACGCTTCCTCGCCTGCCAGGAGATGGCCCATGCTCACTTCCCCAACCCCCACGTTCTCCTTTGTCCAGAACATCGTGCATACCTGATGTTGCCTCCCTGGCTTTGGAGTTTCGTGCTTCTAGGAATTTTCCTGTGCATATGTTGCCAATTTGATTTTTCTCCTATGAATCTGTCGCTGTTAATTTGATTAGTAGCCCAGCTAGAAGGAGTTAGAAGGTGGGAGAGAAAAAAATATTCAGTTTTTTAAGCTTCCACACTATTTTAACTAAACAACTACAACTGTATAAGAGAGCAACATTATAAAGGACACACACTGTAGTTAATTCAGAAAATATAGTTAAATGATAAAAATGAGCCTTTACTTCCATTCAGTTATTTGATTTTGAACTACTCTTGAATGAAACTAAACATGTAAACAACATTTTTTTGTGGCTATCACATTATAGCCTAGGTGAACAGAATAACTTGCCCCATACCACTCTTACTACTTGGTCTAGGTTATATGGACCCAGCTGGATTTTTGTAATAACAGATCTGCACACACACACAAATTTAGGGCAAGGACAAAATGGGACTTAAGCTACTACAGAGCATGGCATGTGGTTTATATTCTTTTTTTTCCACCCCTCCTTGACATGTACATGAGATCCTCCCAGAGGAGATGTCAGAGAAGTTGCTGAATCTGCAGAAGAACTGAACAGAGAGAAGTCCAGCAACTGCTTAGAGCACGATGCATGGGCATTAGGATCCAGCAGCAGGCAGGCGGAAAGGCTGTCCTCAAGCTGAACACTCACTATGCCCTTTCATGGCAGAGGGCGCAGCAAGTCCCTCCTGTATCTTACTCAGTTTCACTTGTTACATTATAGCTCCTTTCACAAACACACTTTTCAGGGCACAGTTTCACCACAGTTCCCAACTCATCCCTTTTCTCAGAAACTAAATAATTATCTTTAAGCCATTCCTGGCTTCTTGACTCCCAAGTAGGTAATCATTGACCACTTCCCTTCAGATTCTCCCCTAGTATAATACCTACCACTTTGCATTCATCACTGAGAAGCTGCTTGTGGAGGAAGAACATGGCAGAAGGAATTCCACTCCTGCTCTCTTCTAAGCCAGCGGTGGAAACCAGCGTCACACTGGCCCAGACAGTGTTTTGTGGATGCTCAAAGCCTCCCATGACCCCTGGGTTTTTTCTTTTTCTATTCTTAGGTGTGACCTGTCATTTGTCTACCTTTATTTATGCAGCCCGGCTTTGACCCCTCTTTTTTGTGCTGGTCCCTAGACAGTGGAGCCAGGAGAACGTGTCAATGCAACTTTTACCCAAGGCTGTTTTTCCTGGAGCTGGAGCCAGTATGACCTGCTGTTACTACAGGGTTTTCTCTAGCTGGATGCTTTCTCACTGCATGGTCCTGTCCACAATGGGCAGCTCCTAGAAAAGACAGATCCATGTTTTGTGAGACTGTTTCTGGATGTTGAACTGGTTGGCTGGTTGGAGTGAATGACCTTGCACTGAAAGCATGTAACTTTCCAAGAGACTCCAGAGCATTTTTCCTTCTCAGAGATCTCACAGTTGCCTCTCTCTCTCTCAACTCCATGCTTATATTACACATATATGATTGTGCTGTGCTGCTGCTCTGTTCTTTTCTTGGTGGGAGATATTGCAGTGCAGGTACTTGTTAATTTACATACAGGTCATGTGCCGAGGTTTAGCTCTCTGCTGCAACCAGACACTGTTTGCATGGTCATTTATCAAATATGAGATTTAACTGAAAGTCACACAGGGTTTATTGGCATTAAAGACCCAAGAAGAGGCAAGAAATTGATTTCTGGACCCCAGTTTGAAGAAGGTAAGTGATAGAAGATGTACTGTGAAATTGATTTTGGAGAGAAATTTGAAGTTAATCATTCATTGGTATGACAGATACTCATTGGGTTGCTACTATGAGTGATGCCCAGGTTATACAAGCAAAGACTAAACCTGAGAGTGGTTAAACTAGAACAGCAGATGATTTACTAGCAGCTCCAAGTCCTGGAGAACCAATATGAAAATTATCTGGAAATAGAAATTTTGTACATCAATGCTTCTCTTTCCTTTTCTTTCTTTCTTCTTTTTCTTCTTTTTTAGTGTTTTAAAAGAGTATTCTTTCATCAGAAGCACTAATGGAGCCTGACAGAGGCGTCCCGGGGAAGAGCCAATGCTGGCCAGGCATAAGACTTCAGAGGGGAGAGTGTGTCCCCTTTCCTTCATGGACCCTGGCCACTAGGTCCTGTTTTTTGTTTGTTTGTTTGTTTGTTTGTTTGTTCGTTTGTTCGTTTTGTTTTTAAGGTACTAAGCAGCTATATCAAGAGAAGTCAACAGGAATGGAATTTCAAGACCTCATTTTTGAGTTCAAGTACCATAAAACTAACCACAGAGTGGATACCACGCGTTAACTGAATTCTATTAAAATTTGTATTATCATAGAGATGCTCTAACTTAAGTAGAGGAACTAAAAAAAGTCATAATGCTAAAATAGAATGAAGAATGAACGAGTCACTTAAGATTTAAAAGTGTTATTTGTAAATTTGTTTATAAAAAGATTAGCATAGAAATCAGAAGTAAACTAAAAATGAGGTCAGATCTTCTGGCCCATGAGGGATTTAGAATCCTAGATATATCCTCAGTAATTTCAAAAAGAAATTGTGTGTGTGTTGGGCCAGATTGTCAAATTTTTGATCATAACTCTTACGGCTTATTTAAAAGGACTTTTCTCAATAGCATTTCCAACTAGAATTTGTCTTTCATTCTTTGTTTATGTCAATTAACATATTTTCTGAGAAGCTATGAACTCCAGATATTGAAAAGAGCTGAATTCACCACATTTTAAAGGATACTTAAAGTTAACATGATAGTGCACAAAAAGTAAATTCCTAATTCTGTTCTGGTTTGTTTAATTTTGCCTCCTGGAATGTCTGCAATTATTTCAAGAGATTGTAGAAGTCATTCTCAAAGTGAAAACATTTAAAAATGCCTTTTAAAATAATTTAAATGAACACTATTAGACAACACGCACCATTTGGGATGGGAAGAAGAGCCAAGGGTTTGAGAGCCCTAACGATGAACACTAAGGGTTCACCACGACAGAGCATGAGCAGTGGTTTTCTGGTGGCTGCTGTGCCTCCCTCCCCCCCTCGACCCGTGTTGGATCGGCACAAGGTTCCTGCCTTACACTTCAACAACACCACTCTTACTCTGCATACATGGTCTCTGTCCATAGCAAAGTCTCACAAAAACATAGCACATGTAATCTGGTAAAATGACCATGACACTCTAACATGCTTAGAATACAGAAGTTTTAGGAAAATGAAAAGAAATTGCTATGGACTGAGTGTGTTCCCTCCTACAACTTCACCTTTCTCTCCCAAATTTTATGTCGAAGCCCGAATTCCCAATGTGATGGTATTGGACGTGGGGCTTTGGGGAGGAAATTGGGTTAAATTAGGCCCTGCGGGTGGGGCTCTCATGATGGGATTAATGATTTTCTAAAATGAAAGATACAAGGATCTCTCTCTGCTTCCCTCCCCGTGTGCATGCAAGCATCGAAGACAGTCTGTGTGGGGACCTAATGAGAAGAGGGCCAACTGCGAATCAAGAAGAGGACCCTCATCAGGAACCCAGCCAGCTGCAGCCATGGTGTTGGGCCTCCCAGCCTCTAGAATTGTGAGACAAATGCCTATTGTTTAAGTTACCCTGTCTGGCCTATGGCATTTTGTCATAGCGGCCAGTGCTGACTGAGAAAGAAGCCATCACAAACCAGCCGGTTTTACTGACCTGGCTCAGAAATTGTAGAGAGCAAATGATAAATCTTAATCTTAATAAATCTTAATACTTAATAGTAGGAAGACCCTGTATGTGCTTTTTTGTTTTTGTTTTTTAACTTAAAAAAGATTTTATTCATTTATTTTTCAGAGAGAGGGGAAGGGTGGGAGAAAGAGAGGAAGAGACAGGTCAGTCAGTTGCCTCTCACATTGCCCCCAACCAGAGCCCTCGCCCACAACCCAGGAACTGGCCAGGAACTGAACCCACGACCTTTTGGTTCATAGGCCAGTGCTCAATCTACTGAGCCACACCAGCCAGGGTTGGACTCCATTTGTTAATGTCATTTCTTGCCCGAATAGCTCTCTACTATGATTGTCAAATCTTTATTGAACACCTACTTATTCTGGGCAAAGGTAAAATTCAAACTTCATGAAAGCTCTCAGTTTTTAGACTCAAAAGTCTCTAGGAAGAAAATCCCAGCCTAGGATTTTACACGTGGGAGGTCGGCAGGCTTCCAAAGCCGTGGCTTCCTACACCGCCGCGCCGGACCCTCGGGGGTCACGTCTTTGGTTTCCCAGTTGGGAAGTAGAGTTGAAATCTGGGTGCTCCAAGTGCTAGCTTGTTCTTTTAACATTAAGAGTACAACATAAATAGCAACTCTATTAGCTAAAGTCTCAAAGGAGGGCACCAATAAAGGTGTTGCCGGCGGAAGTGGGGTTGTTTCACAGGATTGAGAGAGAAGCATTCCATTGACCCATGTGCAGAGACCATGGTGTGGAGACCAAGATTTATTCAGGTGGAAGGCTGCCCCTGTGTCCCATCTCTGTCCCTCCCACCAAAGAAAAAGTCCAACTGTGTATTCGGCAAAGTCAAAATGAAGGCTTCTGTGTCATATTAAATGTTAGTCCTAGTTAGATTGACATGCCTCTATGGTCAAGCACCTTCCCCTGTGCCATTTTGACTTTTCTGTGCATAGGCTCACCTCCTCCTGCTCCCCCCCCCCAACAATCTGGTACTGGAGGGGGGAAGGTAGGGCTCCTGATCCTCGACCCCTGGAGTGTGTGAGCTGCAGCTTCCCTGTGAAGAAAACAGGCTTATGCTCCCTCGTTGATCACGCTCAAGAACGTCCAATTCCCTTGGCTTTCTTCCTCATTAATAATTAGCTAAGTATAACAAAGGTATTTGATACAGAAATTCAGAGGAGGAAATAATCAAGTTAAATTGGAAAAAGGAAAAAAAAAATCCCAATACGGAATAGCCATTGGAACAACCCAGGTAAGAGCTTAAACCAACAACCCAGGTAAGAGCATGTATTCTTTACATGAGAGTGTAAAGAATAACGTAAATGGAGCGATTTCAAATGGAGTCAGAACTGCCATCCTGGAGGAAATGCCTTGCACATCTTACTCCTCAATTCTTTGGGATGTTAATGTGAGAAATAATCTTTAGACTGGGCCTAAAGCAGCACTGTTTGCAAAGCTATTAGGAAAACAGACATCATGCTACCTGCTGAAAATTAAAGACATTTTTTAGAATTAGCATCATTATGTTAACTTACTTGCACCTACAGAAATTCCTTCCTCAGTTTAAGTCCCATAGAAATTCCTTCTATTCGTGTAATTGCCTTCACCTCTTAATCAGAACTCCACTTGGATCTCTACTGAATCAGTGCTTCCCAAATTGCTATTAAAAAACAAAACAAAGCCTCTAACTCTCGTTTCTTCTCACTTTGGCCTTATATTTTCAGGTTAACAAGAGCAAAGAGAAAGAGACATTAACAAACGAGAGAGATATTGAAAGACCCACCGATCGTCATGACAGACTGGATGCTAAGGAATGATCCCAGAGGAATCCAAAGATTGAGGTTTGGAACCTAAGCCACGGGAATGTATGTACTAACGGAGCGTGCCAAGCAGAGGAAAGATCCACTGGCGGACTGGGGGTGACGTGGAACTGGATGGGCTGACTTTCTTCTCTGCTGAATCTGAGGTGACAGTGGTGTTTGTCCTGTGACGGAAGCCAGGCACCGGCGATACCGGCTGCCCTTGCCGTGGTGTTCCTTTGCGCACTAGGGGCCTTTACACTCGGGCAGAACAGATCCAGATGTGAAGTTCACTCTTGACTGAGTAACTGAACTTTAGCAGCTGGTTTGCTACACAAAGGGAAAAAAGTGGAGGTTTTAAAATAGAGGGGCTTGCCATGACAATGTTTAAGCAGTACTTTGTGAAAGGGTAGCAATTTCTACTTAGGGAACAACTGCCCTATAGTCAGTCCTCTACCCATGCCTTCAGCGAAGAGCTAGGGGAGCCAGGAATCACTGGAACACCCCCAAACAGAGAAGCCAGTGATCGGGAAGTGGGTCCCAGAAGCCGTGGAGGGAGCAGCTGAGTTTGGGGTGGAAGCACTATTCCTTTTCAGACAATAAGCACCTTCCTAGAAAGATGTGTGTGTCTGCATATCCAAATCGCTACCATCAATATATGTATTTCCATGAGGCTTTGTTCTGAAATAATGTAGATTTCCTTAATCAAGAAAATTATATGAATCTGAACTTTAAAAACTGGAAACCAACAATGTAAGACATTACTTCTATTTTGACTATATTAACGGAATGCATGTTTCCTATTAAAAATATTTGAAAAGCATCCCAAACATAGAGACTGTTAGGATAAAATATCACACACATCTATTTATATATATAAGACCTGGAAGCAACAAATGCCAAATTTGCTTCACTTTTTAAAAGGAAATTAAATGTTAAAGACGTATTTGATGTTCCTTGTCTGCCTTCTCAGCTGCTGTTCCCTTCCCTAGTTTCCCGAAGGTTATTGCTATTCTGAAATTGGTATGTTTTTCCTGTGCATGTTTACTACACACATATGTCCCAATATGTATCATGTAATATTATTCTGTATGTTTGTAATTATACATAAGTGACATTGCATCGTATTGGCCATACTCTATCTTATTTTTACATATCACAATGTGTTTATCCCACTGAAGGACAATTGTTTTCAGTTTTTCTCTGGGATGAATTTTCTTGTGAGATATCGGCAGTGAGATAGATGTGAACAAAGTAGGAATGATAAGCCAGGTACAGAAGTTCACCAGGGCAGGAAGTCCTGGGCGCCTAGCAACAGACAATTATAAGGCGGGACCTAACCCCCAGGGTGATCTTTCCTTCCCTAACATATCGCTGGTTATGTGGTTTAGACCCTCTGACCTTCCATAGCACTGGTCATGCAGTTCGGATCCTCCCCTAACCTATTCTCTCCTGCCATGTCGTTAGTCATATGGCAGACCCCCTTAGAGAAGGGACAAGGAGGCCAGAGAACAGCCTCAAGAGACTCCCTTGCACGACCACTCCCTTAAGCATTAAGCTCTAGAGATAACATCTGGTCCTCAGTTGTGTTTCAGCTCCAGGCCCAGAAAAGCAGCAAGGCCAGGTAGGCGACATCTTGGCTGACGTCGGGACCCGACCCGCTGTGATGACTAATGACCCCATCCCCTGGCGCTGACTAGTCAGCAGAGACTAGTGGCCCTGTATCCCCCCATGGCCCTGAGGGGATACATCTGGAAAGCTGATGAATGTTCCTTTGAGATTCTCCCCTGATACTTCCAGATAAAAACCCTCCGCACACACACTCTCTCTCCAGAGCACACCGGTGCCTTTCCTTCCCCCTTTCTTCCCTCCAGGTGTGTACCTCTGCTTTCTCTCTCCTCAGCTCCAAGGGCCCTTCTTTTGCCTCCGTAACTTGTCTCCGGAGCCCTCACAGCCCGCTGGCTCCCTTCTTCCATGAGTCACTTCCACCTCTGTGACTGTCTAAATAAAATTTTGCTTGTATTTGAGTCTTGGCTCTAACTTCTTCCCTAGCCCAAACTCAATCAATGACTGAGGTTAACATTTGGTGCCATTCGCCGTTAACATTTGTACGTGTATTTCTGTATGTGGGTGCTTTTCTAGAGGACATTCATAGATGTGGAACTGCAGGATTTCCGGAAATCTGCATCTTTACCTTAGCTAGAGATCGCCAACTTATTCCCCAAAAAGAATGCTCATAATAATCACCTCCTGACAATGTATAAGAGCTCCTGACTGCCCACACCTGTTAAACATTTATTTTTTAAAAGATTTTATTTATTTATTTATTTTTTGAGGGGGAGGGAGGGAGAAAGAGAGGCAGAGAAACATTGATTGGCTGCCTCCTGAGGACCTGGCCTGCAACCAAAGCATGTGCTGTAACTGGGGGTAGAACCGGCGACCTTTCAGTTTATGGGACGACATTCAACCCAGAGCCACAGCAGTCAGGGAGAAACGTTTAACTTTTTTGACAACATAGTGGGTGTTTTAGTTTTCATTCCCTGGTAAATAATGCAGTTTCTTTCAAAATATCTAAGCTTTCCTGGGTCAGATGGAAGTTTGTTTGCCTCCCATCCACAAGGACAGAATGTTCCAGAAGGGCCGTGCAAGAGTCAGGCAGAGAACAGTCAGCTCGGACCAAGAGCTCCTGCCAAAGAGAGATCAATCTGAGATGAAGATAAAGCATACTTGACGTTAAAGTCGATGGGAAAGAACGAATAATCATAAAAAATTGATTCGGAACAACTTGACGGGTATGTGGTAGAGCTCTTTATTGAGCGCCTTTCAGATCTTATCACATTAATACATATGAGACCAATAAGGAACCGCAAGGAATGACCAGTGAAACCATAATCCGGGGTAGGGCCTGGACACCAACTGGACCTGTCCCTAGAGTTTCGTGATGGCAAAAAATGATGGTAACTTGGGGACATTTGTTGTCAGTCCTTTAACACTCACCTGGGAGAAGAGAACATGTATTTAATAGAAGGTGAACATGTTGACATTTGTAGTTAATTTTATCAGTTCCCCGAACAAAATATTGGCTTCCTGGGGGGTGGTGGGTGATGTTTGGACTCAGATAAACCAGTACTTACATTTACCACCCGTGAGACTCTGAGTCTGAGTCCTCACTGTTAAATAAGGAGAATGATACCTTCTTCACAGAGTAGTTACAGGACTGAAAGTAACAACTACTCCTAGTATAGTGTCTGGTATATTTAGTATTTAGCTAATTTATAATTGTAATAAAATAATTGAGCAGCTACTACATTCCAGGCATTGCAGCAAGGCCTGGGCACATAGCAGCGAAGAATTAGACCACACCCCGGCTGTCAAGAAGCTCACATTCTAGAAGGAGCCGACAAACAATAAACCAATAAACCACTATATGGTATGTCAGGTGATAAACACAATTGAAAAAAGAGCAGGATAAAGCAGGTAAAATGTGGGGGGGGGGGCACCTGGATGCTGCCTTCTCCCGCTCATTCCGAGGTGACCCCGGGACTCATCTTCCAAGTCACAGTTCTTTCTTAAGCTGGGAAATGGGGAAAATAACAATGGAATTGTGCATGGTTTTACTTATTTGTGTGCTAAAATGAAAGTTTAAACAGTCTTTCCAAACTTTGATTTGTTTAGAATTCAAAGCTGAGAAAAAGGGAAGATTGCTGGGAGGTTTGCAGATTTAACATTGACAAAATATTTGAAAGCTGTCAAAAATTGTATACTTTAGTAAAGAGAAAAAGGACCTTACTGGAAAAAATATGTATGTCAGTGTGTAAACAAAAATGTGTCCAACTGAAAAAGCAACAGGCAGAGATTCTCCAGAGGCTCGGAGGGTACTTCCGACTCTGTGCTTCTCTGTCTTCTCCCCCGTCAAGTGATGCTTAGAGACTCTCAGTTCTAGTTTTGGTCTCCCAGACACCACTACGCCCACTTATGGTTTTGAGAACTGAAACGCTGACTGTTGTGTACATTTCTGTTCTGATTCCTTTAAAAAAACAATGTTGGACTGTAATGGTTTCCTATTTAGATATAGGTGTCTCCTTTGCAATACAGTACCATTCCTGCTCAGCATCTCTGTTACTAGGACGGGGAAAGAGAAAACCTTGACAACCCAAGTGCTCCCAGGATTTTGAAAAAAACCTTGATTCATTTCTTTCCTGCCATTTTTTTCATGCCTCTCTTCTGGCAATGCTTTGAAAGCACATCGGTCACCATTTTGGTAAATATGTGAAAATGATCAATAACACGGTATTATTGGAAAATCACCAAGTCCTTTCAAAGATGAATGGAATGTTAAAGTTGCATGCCGAGATTTTTGCTCAAGCATACCTTTGTTAATCCTGCTTGAACCTCTTGACATAAATGATCTGCTATTGTTATAAACAAAGTAGCCTCTTCCCCAAACCCCTCATGTTCATCTCACCTTATCGAAAAAGGAGAATGATGGGCTTTAGAAAATAATCATTTTTAAAACAATATTTCTTTAAAAACTATTTACTGTACTTAATTTCCCGATGTCACCTTTTATTTTACATTAATGAAAAAACTTTTTGCTTTATTTTAAAAAACATTTTTACAAGATGGCCTCAGTTTTTGTTTTTAATATTCTTGCAAGCACAGTCAGATGGCAAAATCAGCTGGCACATTGCCTCGTATATATTTGAATCACCCTCCCATGTTAAACCTGAAGAGACAGTAGCCCGGAATTCTGCAGACAAACTTCTTTTTTGAGATTCTGTGGAGAAGTTCTGTTACCCAATGGATACAGACTGAATTCCAAAAGATTAATTTCAGCACTTGCAAAAAGATCAGGAGCATTTGCTTTTACTTTTAATTTCTTCTTAGTGTTAATTTCTCGATACAAACATTAGTCATGATGGAGCCTCAAAATCTCCCCAGACCCTTCGGTGAAGAACTGACCAGCTAGAACATGAACTTAGAACTACTCTCCTGAAGATCGCTTACTTATGCTTTAACCCTCATTTTCTACCATAAACAGACAGGCACTCTATTACAATCTGTGATATTTATATGTGTTGATGGCATTGACTTATTTGTATCAAAACTCCCCTTCATCACTCTCAGTGGGGCCGACTAACGGAAGCTCTCCGTTACCTCTCCGCTGTCTCTGCCACAGCCCCCTCATCAGGCGCCTGCACCTCCACGTGTCCCCACTCCAGTCCATCCTCCACGCCTCCTGCGATACCCCCCTGCCCTAACTCCCTTGCACCACGCAGTGCCCATGCCCCAAACCTTTAAGAACTCTCAAATGCTCCTATGCTCCTGTCCGGTTTCAAAGCTTCTACCCCCTCCCACCTTCATCCCGCACCCCATTGTCCCTTGTCCTTGCCTGTCTTCCAAGAGTGGCCATTCTTCCTCCAACTCGGGCATTTTTCAAGGTCCACCATTTCCAGCCACACTTGCAAATTCTATCCTTCCTGGACCATTATAGTTCACAATGATTCCCCACCATCTCTAAGAAACCTAGACTACCTGTTGATTGGGGCCTTAAATCACACATTCATACTGAAAATTGGTTATGTGCAAGTATGGGCTTAATTGTTAATATTTAATACATGGAATTGAGTTATAGAAGTGCAATGAAACTTAGACATTCAAGTCAGTTCAGCACCTCTTGAAACACAGGAAATTCTCTCCCTCTGGGTGAACACTGGTCAGTTGAGTGCTGTGCTTCAACCTGTGGCCTTCACCTTTGATTTGCTCTTTAAAGTAGAGACAACTGCTTTTAGAGGAAGAAAAATCCCACTCTTTCCATTCCAACCAAGTGATAATCAAAGGCCCACGAGAAGGAGGCAGGCGGTGAGAATCCTCTTGCTCTCCATCTGAATGAGATTTCCCCAAGTCCAGCTGAAATCCTTTGTGGCTGTTTTTAAATAACTACTCTAAGTTTGGTCTGCAGATCTCTGGCGTCTGCATCACGGGGCATCTCGTTGGAGATGTAAATCCATGGTCCATTGACCGACTGATGTGGGAACTGTGAGGGTGGGGCCCAGGAATCTGAGTTTCAGCAAGTTTGATTAGGACTACATCTCCCATATGAAATGGGAAACAGCTGGCCCCCTTCAGTATCTTTGCAGGCTTAACCATGGTG